AAGTGCCCTGGGACGCGACGGCATGGACCTTGCTGGCGTTGGCCTGTGGCTGTGATCGTTCAATAACTCGATCCGCTAAATCTGCTAGTTGAGTGAGCGGAACGGAGCTCACTGTAGCGAGAATCGCTTGTGTGTTTTCCGGTAGCCGTTGTAGCCATAGTTCGCGAAGTAAAGTCTCATCCATGGTTGAAGAACCAAGGAGTTGCTGCATCTCTCGTAGCAGGGTTGAGGGCAGTTTGTCGCCCAGCTGCAGATCTCTGAAAAGCTGCTGCAGGCGAACTTTCTCAGAGGGCATAACACGCTTAATCGTGGCCTCTTTGAGAGCCTCATAGCGGTTTTCGGTCTGAGAAATGATGACGTCACGAACCTGCGTTGATATCTCCTTGGGGAGATAGGACAGGAGCTTGCAATACTTCGCGTAGTCGGAAGTGATTCTGTGGTTATAGAACTCAGCCTCAAGAAGAGCGAACCACAAAACAGGATCCATGTCCCAAAAAGGTGGAACTGAGAGAGATACAACACTAAGCATAGACTCTACCTTATGGTCTACAGATTCCATGATTTGAAAAAATGACGCGAAAAAATAGGCTACCGTATGCAAAAATAAACCGGAAAATATGAAAAATAAATGGAACGAGCTCACCGGAGAAAAGTTCTAAATATCCGGCGTTGAGATTGTTCCGGATCCGGGGTCACCAATTTAGAGGGTTGCCTATTCCGGGAGCCCAGAGAGCGATTCGAGAAGACGGATCGAGTTGCAGGGAAACTTTTATTGGTTCAGCAAAAGATTCCCTGTTAGCTAGCTATAAATGAACGACACCGTGGACGCTCTAGCTAGGGGAACAGATCAAGCACAGCACACAGAGCAGTCGCGCGTTGCAACCGAAGCGAGCGCCAAGCAAAAATGGCGATGAGCAAGTAAAGCATTCGAACTCAGCAAGCAGTTCAACAAACCACACCGGTTGCCTAAGTGTACAATTAAAGAATTTTGGTTAGAATTTTACACAAGCAAACCGGGGAATCTCCAGACTGCTACTTTCTTTTGTGATTTGCCTGGCAAGAGCTGTTCTAGCACCCTAAGCAAAGAGCGATAAGGTAAATCAGGAGTAGAATAGTAACAAAAACCAGTGGGAGCTGGTCGTTCACCCACCATTACGCATAACGCATGGTAGGCTTTGGAGCCAGCTAAAAGATAAATGATACACGGGCGGCCAAGATAAGAAAAGTGGTGGTGGAAAGTTTCTGGTGCTCCAGCCAGCCAGTGTGACAGGGGCCTCTCTGTCGTTGGTTAGCTTTCGTGCCAGTGAAATGAAATCTGGAAATGAGAGTGTTTTACGAGCAAAAGCAGTTAAAGAAGAGGATCTGGTTTTCATTATGACTGTCTACTAGTGTTGCCAATAGCGAAAGGCACATGTATACCAGATAAAGCTAAGTATATGGGGCCAAGAGAGAATAAGTGGAGAGCAAAATGTCTGATTCTTGGGCCTAGAACTTTCAAAGTACGCTCTTTGTCAACAATAAGAAAGATATATGTTTTATTTTGCTGTTTACCTACTGATAGTGTTTGGAAACTGCTGAGTATAGTAACTAGTGCTCAGACTTAATGAAAAAGCTTCAATTAGGGCCCGCTGGCAACCGACATCTAGGAAGACACATAAAGGTTCATTTAAAGCCGGCATTTAGACGATTTTGGACAATTCTAATGCTAAGCTTGGGTGCATCAGCAGCAGAAAACGCTTTCATCATCCTATGCAAGGCTTAGGTCTGGTAGCATGCGTTTACTAGGAGTACCATGGAGGTCATAAGCCTAATACTTTTTCCACGGATCCAGTGGTCAAGAGGTTGGAAAGTGATAAATGTAAGTCTGAAGAGAAGGAATGAAGATGTAGATAAGAAATAAGGATTGAAGGAAGAGGTCGTTGAAGAATAAGATCATATTGTATTCCGTTTGCTATTCTTAAACCCTGGAAAATGGGTGCGACGGATACCGTGCAAGTCTCTTAGGTGCTAGAATGGTAACCACAATGAATGTGGATGAGTTTTGAGCTCAAGGTGCTTAGATGTCTTGCACTACATCTTGGGCGTCCTCAAGCTACATCAGGGCCAGTTTCAAAGAAGTGGTCTTGCGAATCGCAGATATGGAAGATGCTTTGTAGATTACCAAAACATAGGAATTTTTGTATCTCCTTCCTGAAGACCTGCAAATTTTGGATTTCTCTTATTCTGGAAGGCAACCTGTTCCACATGTTCACGTACACAACCAAGAAGAAACGAGACCGCAGTCTTTTCTTTGCCTTTAGCGGAGTAATGGAATGGCCCCTGTTTCGGAGTCTCGATTCAGACGCGCTCCTTAGTTTAAGACAAGTGATATTACTGTGCAACTTTCTATGAATTAGCTTATGTAAGAAGCACATGTTAAGGATAATGCGCCTTTGCCATAGCGGCTGAATTTTAAGGTGTTCACACCTTTGTCGGTAATTCAGCGCTTGCTGCGGTGGAGTCAACATCTTCGTAAAGCGTCGCTGAGCTTTCTCAAGCAGAACACGGTCTGACTTACGTAGATTGCTGCATATAAAAGAGCAATATTCTAGATGTGGCCTGACGTGACTCTTATAAAGTTCTAGCCTAGCATCGGCGTTTTCTATGTAACGGCGTATGTGGAACGATAATCCTCTTACCCTTGCGACTTGATAATGCACTTGCTCTGCAAAGTTGAGGCTCATAGAGTAGCGCAAGCCCAGATCTGTTGTTATGATATCCTGTTTGATAGTGCTGCCGTTTATTGTTAGGGACCCAGCAGGTATAGAGAATCTGTGGGTCATGACGTTAGATTTTTGAGCGGAGAAGGTCATTTGCCAGTGTTCGCACCACTTTTCAAGTGCATTAAGATCCTCACGGATACTATTTATTGCGGAAAATTCATTGCCACGGGGAAAGTCGTAGACAACTTTCACATCGTCAGCAAAGATAAAGGAGCGACCGTGTTGCAAAATCTTGCAGAGGTCATTGATATAAATCAAAAATAGGGTAGGGCCAAGGACACTTCCCTGCACCACGCCACTGGGGACGGCGGTCGGGGTGGATATAGTTTGTTCAACCTTAACAGACTGCGTACGTCCTATTAAGTAGGAACCCAACCAGTCTAATAGAGGACCTTCTACCCCATAAGCCTTTAGCTTATGCATCAGGCGCATGTGTGGTACCCTGTCAAACGCCTTTTGCATATCAAGGTAAAGAATGACAACTGCTTGATTAGAGTCAATGGCCTCGGTGACCAAATTAAGGAAGTCCAGCTGACAGGTTGCACAAGACCGAGCACTTAGAAACCCGTGCTGAGATTCATTTATGTGCTCGCCTGCGTAAAGATGAGTCATGAGGGCTTTTTTAATCAACTTCTCCATCACGCGCGAGATAATGGAAGTGTGGTTAATGGGGCGATAGTTACCAACTTCCTGTAGGCTTCCGCCCTTATGTCTTGGCACTATGATAGAATGTTTCCATGCGGCCGGGCATTGACCTTTTTGCATTGATAACGTAAAGATTTTCAGAAGAAGCAGAGGGATATCTTCACCACCATTCTTAAGTAGACTGGGCGGGATTCCGTCTGGACCAGGGTCCCAGGATGGCTTGGTAGTTGAGATCGCGGAACGGACACTACTTAGGTCAAACTGTACAAAGGACAGGGACTGGCTACCGGGTACCTTCATGGCCTGAAAGGTTGAGCTTATTTCCAAACACTGAGATTCTTTAAAATGTGAGCTGAAGGCTTCACATAAAATTCTTGGGTCACTAGACGTTTCGTTGGGACTGATCTTTAGAGTAGAGAACTTTCGTCCAAAGTTAGAGGTTCGAGAGCGCAGCAGCCAACTGAGACTCTTAGCTTTGTTCGCACTATTTAGTGCGGCGATTTCTTGCTTGGTTTTCTGCTGTTTAGCTCTGGCAGAAAACTGGTATGCCATCTCGTTCGCTCTCATGATGTGAGCAAAATTGAAGGTTTTGTAATAGGATCGTCTAAGCTGACGCATTCTGTTATGCATTTTGGTTTGGGTCATACTTTTAGAAGAATGCCTTATTAGATGCGACACGGGAGCTAGAGAGTCGAGACAGTGGAGTATTTCCTCATAAAACAGCTCAGCCGAGCGATCCACTGAATCAGACATAAAGAAATCATCCCAATTATTTGATCGGACGAGCACAGCAAAGGTTGTCCAGTTGACGAGGTGCATCGGGCGGTAAACTAAGACTGCACCTGGTTCTGTTGGGTGGGCAGTATGTGGCTTTAAGTTAACCGAGCAATGCACTAATCTGTGAGAGTAGAAGGGCAAAACAGGCGCTTTGTGAATGAGCGTTTTACTTTCTCAATTGCTATTCGATCACTCTTTCTAGAGTTGGTAAATATTATTGAGCAGTATTCCAGAAGAGGTCTAGCGCATACCATGTATCCAGTGAGTCTGGATTCGGTTACGAGCAGTCTCTTGCAGATATGACCAATGAAGGATCTGGCTTTCGCTACACTATAGCTAACTTGTTCTGAGAAATTTAGTGGGCTTGAATAGTTTGCTCCGAGATCCTTTGCGGTTTGACAGACGGCTAGTGAGACGCCATTCAGGGTCAGCGCACTAGGCGGCACTGTGCATCTGTACGACAGAACGCTGTACATTGCAGAAGTCAAGCTTCCAAGTGTTGTACCAAGAGTTCAAAGCTTTAAGGGCAGTTTTAATATTGAGGAGACCGCTCCTAAGGTTACCCGGGTCAAAGGAGAATACGACTATGATATCATCGACGAACAGGTACGCCGTTTTTCTTCTCACCCTTGTTCTACAGGATAACATTACCTGCACCAAACACCGCTGAAGACCTACCTGCGATGCTCCCATGGCCACGGATTCAATAAAGAACAAAGAATAAACCCGCACTTCATAATCATGACACACTAAAGAACCTAGGAAACTGATCAATTCAATACATGTCACCTGAGTAGTCCGACTACAACAGCTCCAACCACTTGTACTGGACTCCGAAGGCGACTACGCAGTCATAGGAAACAAATTGGCGTTACGTGACTGCGAATATCCGCGAGGGTAATCGGTCAGATACAATCTTGCCAATGTTATATCAACAGCCGGCGGTGTTCCAGGACGTGGTGGGTCTTCGTCTGGCAAGCGTTTTCCCTACAAAAAGCCACAAATGTCTGTTTAACAACACTGCGACGTGGCGGATGTGACTCGCCACTCAATAATGTCACCGTCCCTAACACATTGGCAAGTTGACCGACACCACATTTACAAGTCCTGTGTATATATCGGCTCTCGCACGAACACGCCTACATATCTGATTAGTGACATACCACTATTCTTAAGTATTTTCCACTCGTTTCCTCATACGTCACTCACTGACCTACATTGCTTACGGGACCTCATCGGACTAGTTCCTCATCAACATACTATATAAGTGATCTGAGTACTATCTTTACCTCTCGCATTCTGTGTACATAGACTACATACAACATTTGGGCTCTATGGGCCCACACTACTGTCTCCAACTGTACTACTCCCACTGTTGATGCTGCTTATTCCGCTATCATGTACAATAATGCAATATGCTGATCATGCACAAAAGGCGTGTCTCGCTTTGTGGAGAATAAAATATTTATTTATTTATTTATTCAAAGACTTGAAATATGGCTTTGATGTAAAGTAGGAAGAGTATAGGGCCCAGTGCACTTCCCTGGAACACACCACTCGTAACTGGTTTGGGTGAGAATTCGTTGATCATGCCTGGTCTGGTGTGTCTCGAAAATTCGAGAATATACTATTTATTTATTTATTTATAAGTCACCTAGTCTCACCGACTGTGTTCGACAGGAGAGATAGGAAGAGAACCAGGAATGCAACTTGTCCGATATACCGTAAGAAGCCAATTTAGTTAGCAGTCCATTATGAGGAACTCGGTCGAACCCTTTTTTCATGTCCAAGAAGGTGATGATCAGAGCTTTCCTGCAATCAACCATGGCGATAACATTGTTCAAGAACTCCAGCTGGCATGTTTGACAGGATTTAGACGGGAGAAATCCATGTTGGGATTTGTTGATGAGGTTACGATGTGTCAAGAACCGTAGGAGCTCTTCTTTGACGATCCTGTCCATCACCCGTGAAGCGAATGGGGTGTGACTAATGGGTCGATAGTTTTCAATGTTTTGACGGCTTCCTCTTTTGTGTCTTAGCATGACTACTGCATGCTTCCAAGCGGAGGGAAATGTTCCGAGTTTCATGGAAAGGGTAAAGATGTTAAGGAGTAGGACGGCTATATCCAGGCCATCTAGAATTAGCAGAGCCGATGGGAGGCCATCAGGTCCGGCATGGAAGGATAAGTCGAGGGCTTGAACTTCTCGAGTAATAGTATGCAGGTCAAATGGTACTGCGCGTAAAGTATCATGGGTGCAACTAGGAATATTAAGGGGCAGGGTCATGTTAGCAGAGGTAAAAGAGTCACAGAAGTAGCGGTTCATGACCTTACATATTTCAGCTTGGTTACTGGTAACTGAGTTGTCTGGACGAATAATCGAATTAATGGAATTCGAAGCGGGGTTGCTTCTAAGCCTCATCAGGGAAGTGTGGGCTTTGGTACGGTTGATAGATTTTAGGGCAGTTGTTCTTCAGACAGATTTGCGGTAGTTAGTGAATTTCTCCACTCCAACAGGACTTCATTGATGCTAATAAGGAGGAAGTAATCTTGGGTCCTGCTGTACTTCGAACGTAGCTTTTTTAGCTTGACGAGCAGTTTGCGAGGTGGAGCTGCGTCCTGCGGTGACTGTATTGCTTTTTGTTTCGGTATAGGTGCAAGTATATACAGGCAGTAAGTGAGATTTCTATATAATACAGAAGAGGCAGTGCCCGCATCTGTAGCCAGGAAGAATGCATCCTAGCTGATGGATCTCAGAACTAGAGCAAAGTTGGTCCAATTGATGCGTTTGAAGGGCCGAACAGAACACGCTGTTCTAGCAACTGGGGGACGAGTGATAGGAAAAGATAGTTTTACTATTTTGTGATCGCATCCAGGGAGATTATCAAGCACGCTAGCAGATGCATGTGCAACTGCGTTTGTAAAAAGTAAATCTAAGGTGTTATTGTGCCTAGTGGGTGCATGCACGTGTTAAGTCCACCCAAATGCATATGTGGTGTCCACAAAGGCACGGTATTTGGGTGGCGCAGATTGCGTTTGCCAGGCCACTTGTGGCATGTTGAAGTCACCACCGATTATCTTATAGTGAGTAGGCAATAGGGATACTTCCGTGAAGAGTTCCACTAGATTGCGTATACCGATTGTGTTAGTGTATGGATGGTTATACGGCCAGCCAATTAAGATATCGTGCTGTCCCCTATTAGTCTGAATCCGAACCGACTTTTCCAGAGGGCCGATTGAAAGTTCTTTAAACGATGGCGCCCCGAAATCGTCACACACGTAAATGAGGCATCCGCCACCTCGGTGCTTGGTACTTCCATTGCTGAAGGAGGTGTAGCCCGGGATTTGAAGCTGTGCATCAGGAGTGTTAGCATCATGCCACGTTTCTGTGATGAGCACTACCTGGGGGCCGGATAGGATAATGACGGGGTTGATAAGGTGCATCTTATGTTTTGATGGACCTTGCGTTAATGAGAAGTAGAGTGAGTGCCTCATTGCAGAAGTGAGCATCCGCTGCATTATCAGATACAGAAGTAATCTGAGTGGTGTGCGTGGGTATAGTTGCTGTTGTCTCAGAAGGAGTGATAAGAGTTATCAGGTTACAGAGGTCAGCCAAAACCCTACTGTCCGCTTCATCATAGAGCAGGTCAGGTTGAAGGAGCGGGACTGCTTGTTTACCAGGCTGAAACGAAACAGAAGAGACAGGTTTGTGGGTGTGGGGATGGTTATTGGCGATGGCTAAGGTATTGGCCGGGTTTTGTTGTACGAAAGCAGTAGAAGGTGGAGTACAGTGGGCGTGCAGTCCTGAGAGGCATATTTCTGCCAGATGTGGGTTGGTTACTGCGGTGTCTGTATCGCATTCCAAGACTCGGAGAGGGTTGATGGCATTTTTGCATGCAATGGTGAGCCTCCTGGTTAGGTCGTCAGTTGGATGCGTGGAACACAAGCTCGTAGGTGTGGCTAGAAGTGTCTCGGGGAAAGCAAAACTTGCGTTGCCGTTAAGCCGGAGCCGTTAAGTTGTGCAGCGGGGGAACTTTTGAGCATGTTCTCCTAGGGAGATAGGGACTGATAATGCATGCTAGTTCTGGAAATAGCTTTTACTGAGCCGACGACTACATGAGTTGTTGGAGGGGTGGGCAGCGATTGCTCAAGGACATCGGTGGGAAGTTTAAAAGCCTGTAAAGATGGTAGAGTGCAGCCTCGTCCAACAGTCTCGTGAGTATTGGCGAGCCGTAGCCCGCCATATTCCATAAAAAGGAGCGGGGATGCGTACTGACGTGTTCGGCAGTTCAGTAATCGATGGGTTTGTAGGGCGCGGGCGGTTAATCTTTGCAGGCGAGGGTGGGATGGTGTGTTTCGTTACTTCGCGAAGTGTTCTATAAGAAGCAGGTTTGTAGCGGGGTACCTGCAGTTGATTATAGTTACTGTTCGTTTGATAGCACCACGGAAATTGCGGCCATAGGGAGCAGGGTGTGGATTCACCAGCTGACCTTGTTGTATTGGACAGTCTAGGGTTAAAAGACTGGTCGGGCTGGGGGCGGTGAAGTGGGGCAGTGGTGTTGCTCGCGTTAGCGCTACCGGGAGCGGGGCGGGAGTATGGCATGTTCTGGCTGTGGCTGAGGACATTGGCTTTTATACGGCGAGCAGTTGGAGTTGGAAGCAAGTATGGCTTTCTGGAGGGCGGCACTTGTTTGTTGGTAGTCGTGGTCTCCAACAGTGGTACATAATTGTTAGATATTGCCCTTAAGGGTGCCATCTGTCTGTTCTGAGATGAGCACTTGTTGGGTAGCACGGAGGGTGAGGGTTGCTTGATTTCCTTGGAACGTTCTCCGGGTTGATGTCTCGGCACGTCGGAGTTGCAAGAGGCAGGCTTTTTAATGCGCCTTCGTTTTGGGCGGTTGCGTGAGAGTTCCTTAGTGGTCATTGGGGTGCTTTTCATAAGTTCATTGGATGTGTTGCCAATAACTTCATCTGTCTGAGGTTCGTTATCATTGTCACACATGTCCGAATCGTTCGGTTTATCTACTACAGCCTCATCTTAAC